TTTCAAAATATCAGTATGGTCTAGAAAACACTTTTGATGAAAAAAAAATTAAGTACTTCCTCTTAAAAATCCCGAGTTTTCGAGCGATTTTTCGGAACACCTTTACTGTACTTTTACATATAGGGAAAATGTCATGAAATAGGGTAGAATTTTTTTAAAAACAATTTTTTCGGTATTTACTGGTATTCAAAATTATAAACGAAGTCTAGAAACATGTTTCCTGAAAAACATCAGACCTATCCTATTGAAGATCTTGGGTGCTCAGTCATTTACTATGTATCCATGAACCTAGGACTCAAGAAATCTAGTATAAGGCAGAAATGAAAAGAGCTATTCAGTCTATCTGAATGCTGAGTATCATCATCAAGTCTAATATAAAAAATTTTATCGACTAGAAAAAACATAAAAAGGATTTTTATTTAAATGTAAATGTCTTTATCTTTGTCGACCGAGATGTCAAACTATATTGAACCGTTGAATTGCTGATCGGTTTGAATTCGTGCATACTTCGGATTCCTTGTATCGTACCTAAATCAATACAGACATGAAGGAATAGAAGCAAAAGTCTTTTCTCACCTGTTGTTCGAAGTTTTTCGCTTCTAGCTTTCATATAACTGTTCTTCACTTCTTCTACTTCATCTGATTCAAGAAAGAAGACTTGGACACTAGGAATATCTTTGTTAGATCTTCTTGCCGTTTCAAGTTGTTGTTTCTGTGTAAATTCGTAAAAGTCTGTTGCATTTGACATGAGAATATTCTTAGAAAATGTAGCACGTCTAGCCGTGGACTTAAGTACCGCACCAATTCCATCTCCAGCTCCCTTTCCGTGACCTGTAGCTGTAAATGTCCAACAAGCATCCAAATCAAAATCAATCTTGTGGTAAATTAGGTTCAAAATGCTGGCATTGTTTTTAAAATGTGCACACGCACCATCGCTAAAGAAAAGGAAAGGGTTGACGTAATACATATACTTCAAGAACAGTACAACTTACCTCACATAATTGATCTTCTTTACCAACGGAAAATTTTTCTTGATAAATCGAGTAAGAATTTTTTGTGCACAGTGTACGAATACCGTTGTGTGTTCCATATAATCACTGATGATCGCTAAATTTCGTTGTTCTTTTCCAATGGTCAGATGAATTGTAAATAAGGTGACTTGGTGCTGACTAAAAAATCCTTGTTGAACTTCACGCTGACGTACCAGTGTATAATTCATTGAAAAATCTATTTGAGCAACAACGAAAGTCTTTTCTGTTGATTGACAACGTAACTCTTTGATATATTCACGTTGTTCGCGATTAATGTGTGTGTGAAGCAAGAATGAAGACCATCTTTCTTCAATTTCCGTTAATAAAGAGTCGATTGAGCCAGACATCTGTTGAAGGTCGAACTTGTTATTGACTTTCTTCCACAAATTCCATGAACATTCGTCATCCAAATCGATCATATTGTTATCTGTGAGAATATCTGTGATGCTTTCCGTTGAACATTCATCACATTCACCATTAAAGCACTTTTCATTCGAGACAGTGCAAACCATTTGAGTGATTAGATCCTTCATGTTGACCTTGTCATTAGTTGATAAAGAACCTACACTGACACATTTTCGGTAGTAGTTGTTCCATCCCTGTAAGAAAGCTACGTTACATTCGAATCAATATACAGCTGGTACAAACCTTCAATAATAGGTCCATGTTCTCATGTATAATACACATGCACGTTTCATGTGGTGTTACAGGTTTTACTTCACGTGGACGAAGAGCATTAAAAGTTGATCTTGCAACAGTTCCAGGATGTCGTTCATTGAAGATCTGATAAGCATCCAAGACAGTCATTTCTAAAAACCGAACTGCCACTGGTTGTCCGTTGATTTTAATTGTGTCTTTGGAATTGGAAGAGGTTCGACTAATACCATCTTCACGATAGAAATTGACCACAGTATCAATTGTTGAATCAGATAAAGGAATATTCCCTCGTAGACATTGTGGATAGGCTAATATTCCATTATTTTTTCGAAGAACAAGCGATCGTCGAGTCTGATTTGCCTTTGATTTAAACCTAATAAGTGAAAGAAGTTTTTAGCAACATTTGATTAAGAATTGCGCAAATATTGAAAGCAATGAGGATAAAATACGCACCATTTTTCAATTTTTTGTCGACCCCATGTTTTGGGAGCAATTGTCATCAAACGAACTTGTTCACTATCATTACTA